AGTGTTTCAGTTCACTTAACTTTACACAAGCCATGTTAGCAGAATCGCCTAGGAATATTAGCAGGATCACTTCAGTGCCTACCTGACATTCATTCTCTCCTTACTGTTTGTAACAGTAAAGGACATAAGTATAACAAATTACAATGAAAGAACATGAGATTGTTAAAGATTTTAACATTAGTAAGAACAGTTTGAACATTGAGTTCACAATTTTATTTATTTGTAGCTTACACTTACAAATACACAAAAGCATTGTAGCTTTTCTGAAAAATGGAATTGGAACGTACTCACCGTAGTCATAGTTATACGTTACCACAATATTTGCCACAATACCTCGATCACAACGTACCTACTAAGCATATGAATACGAACTTACATAAAACAAACGAAAAACTTTGAATAGTCAATCTGCCGTATCATGTAGGTAAGTATTATCTACAGAGAAAGTCAGAACGCATGGAAAATAATCGTATCCCACTTCTGATATTAGAAACTTGAAAACTGTCATAGAGTTCACCTTACTCTTTGATATTAGGAACATATTGGTTTTAAACCACATTGGATTTTAGAAACTCAGGAGGCAGGAAAATTAAAGAGTACCACCATTACAATTCACCTTATATTGTTAACATCGAAATCAAATTACAAAATCAGAACTAGCTAAACCATAACTATTAATTGGAAAGAAAAACAACAACAACAACACATAAATAGGCAAATTGACTTTCAAACAGAATAAAATTCCCTCAAACCAAATACACCGTCTCAATATTTCCGAGTTCCCGCCATCTTGACATTTTCGTTCTTCGAACCACAGATTATATTTTCCCGCTTCACGATGACGTTTCGTTTCTTTTTGTCTATGCTCCTAACAATATAATATGTCTGTCTCTGTCTCATCTTTGCTAGTTCGACATTTTCTTTCGTAGGATTAGTGGTTTAGAATTTACCATTACGTTGATTACATCGTTGTAATTTAATAAAATAATTTTGAATAATAGAGAACTCAGGAACTTCAGTTGTAACTTGTAGGTACACGTACCTATAATAGGTACCTACCTACAATTAATTGATTTGCATATTTAATTGTTTTTTTAACAACTACGTGTACCTACAAGCCTTGACTACCTCGTTGGCAGAGTGGTCGCAAGTGCGTCTTCCGGGCAAGGGGTCTTGGGTTCGATTCCCAGGTCGGACAAAGTATTACTAGTTTTTTTATCTCAGTAGTAGCACAGCGTCTGAAATTGTGCCTGGTATGGTAAATGGCAATAGATTCATCCCTATTACTTGTGACTGTTCATAAATAGTGAAAAGTGGGTACCTATTACATTGCACAGTGGCATTAAGTGTCGTAATGTGCACGCCTGCCTATCCCTTCGGGAATAAAAATGTTGCGTGATGTTATGTTGTATACCTACAAGGTAGTGGGTTCTTATTCTAAAACGATTTCTTAGTATTAAAACATATAGTTGGGACACATAATTAATAAGGATCAATAAAACAAATAAAAATAAAACACAAATTATATTTTTTCAACAACCTTTGATATTTTGAATTCCAATATTATAGGTACATTACATGGTAAGCTAAGTATATGAACAAAAATAATAAATAACGAATCAACCAGTTATTTACAAATTAATTTACAATTTTCATATATTTCCTTAAATAATATGGCATATTGGTGTAGTACCTAGTAACATACAATATTAAATATTAAACTTAAATTCATACAAAATACTGTTTAGTTTTACAATATAAATTATAGGGATGATGACCTAAAATTGAAACATCAAACAAAAAAAAGTATATTTTAATTGCCACAAACAATCAACAAACAAAATATGGCAATACCAACATGGAGTTTAAATAACGAATGACGTCACGCTTGAAATATTTCTCTATAGGTAAGTTGTGACGTCAGTGGCGGCAGCTACCTACATAATATTTCGTCTAAATAGATGACGAATAAAAACATAAAAGCTCTTACAGTCGAAAAATGAAAATGACCTGATTTTGATAAAATTGTCATTACGTATCGTGAAGTGGACTAATTGAGATACGGAAGGGACATACCTCTAGAGGTTGATATAGATTTTTATGTTTTGAATTTGGTGGTCTAAAATATTTTTATATCGCTAGGTAATATTGCGATTGACAGTAGGTAGGTGGTAGAGACAACTGCTAGTTTTCAGACTTGCATGTGAAGTGGCCAATCAGAGAAAGTAAGAGACAAAGAATTAAAAATAAAAATTCGTGTACAAAGGTATATTCACACCAATAAAAAAAAATAAATAAAAAAATCACCAGTACTCAGATTGAAGAACAATAAATTTTTATATTCCATCATCCCTATTTTTTACATGATTTGGTAGTGGAATAGAATAGTTTCACATTTTATTTAAAAACGTTATACCTATATCTTTGGCCGTGATTTTTATACATGGAATGTAGTTCTATAACAATATTTTTAAATATGCTTAATAATGAGTTCTTATTTACGATACCTAATCTGTTTTCATTAGTCGAAGTGCTTAAAAGTACGGAATGTAATTCATAAAGTAGAAATACAGGATGCCCAGGACATTTTATATAGTTCTTTAAACTTTTATGCTGCCGTAGGCTAATAAAATAAAGCTAATGTACCCATGTCAAGTTATAAACGTGTATTTCTTAATAGTTAGGTACTATCTATTTTAAAGGCACTCTGCATTATGTCGACAGCACACAACCTATTTTTACTCCACTATACTTCTATATATAGATACAAAGAGTATTTTGGAAGACAGAAAACTCAATTATATAATTAATATTCCTTACTAACTAGAAGTCACCTTATTTACAAATTAATATTATGTCGAATATTGCTACTTGTCGCTCATTATTACAGGACGGATATTGTTTGAGATAATGTAATAATAAATTATATAATAAAATTAAGAGAGCATTTTTTCCCCGCAACAATGCTGAAGGAATTTAAGTGAAATTATTTATAAAATATTGTTACATATTACGTTAATCCATTTAAGTAAATTCATAAAATGCAAAATAAAATATTTGGTATAAGTCTTACAATATCTTTGGTATGTCTATAAATGAGCGACAAGTCGCTATACATTGGTTTGTCTATTACTTCGTAAATCGTCGATCTGGAATCGAGTGACTTTAGGCCCTAAACTTAACTGAGATCCCGTCAGAGGTCTGATTGCAGATCCAGTAGACTTCGCACCAATACTTTGTTGAGACCCCATTATTTGAGGTCGAGTGTCAGTTTTGGCATTAATGCTTTGTAGTGATCCTATTTTGTGTCCAGAATGTTTGTTTCCTATTTTTGGCCCGAAGCTGACAGTCTCTGTGGCCGGTCCGATGCCTTGGGCGGGGCCAGCGCTGTGAGAGTCTGGGGACCTGGCACTTATCTTCCGCCAGGGCCTGCAGGCGCCATGGTGCCCCGAGGGTCGACTCTCGACTCCCCCAGTGACACTTGGCTGAGCGCCGTTTGTGTGTTGTTGTAGTTGTACCCGTGACGCTCGTTCCATTTCTCTAAAAAGAATAAATGACTAGTTAATTGTTGTAAGGAGTCGTTACAGGGGTTGGAATGTGTGTGATTATGATTATTGAGACAAGGCAAGGTTAGTGAACTTGAATGGAAGTGTGAATGTGTGTATTAAGAAACATCGTAAGAATAGTGGATCGTGCTCTCGTAAAACTTGGAAGTCGTGCACTTTGGATATGCAGTTAATGAGACTATGAATAAGATACAAGGCGCTGCATGGTAATAGTTCGATATCTTTATGACGATTCAGATATATTGTTTTTCTTTTAATAATAATCTGAAACGAAGTGCAATGACAAACGGATAAAGAAACTACATTTTACAGCATAGGTATGTCTGAGCTATAATTTAGTACATAAGAAGAAACACTACGAACATTTTAACACACAACGATATTATGAAAATTAAACAAACTACATTGTACAAACAAACACCACAACCCTAAAGCGACCATTGCCAGTAGCGCGTTGCATCGAATGATACCTTCACGGTCTGATATATGAGGCGAGAGCCGACGTGCGTTCCGACTTCCTGACGGCTTGGCATGCGACCGGCGAGGAGGGATACGCACCGCTGGTGAGGCCTGACAGTCTGGCTAGAGGGCAGCACAGCGCGGCCGCGTACGCAGCGCGATACTGAGCGTTCATTATCACGTAGATGATCGGATTTACGCATGCGCTCGCGTACAGAAGAAGGTAGCCCGTGATGTGGAACACTGGAATCAAAAGTAAATATGAGGGTGAATAAACGCATTAAAACGAACTAGTCATGATACTGCAGTTCACTAGGACGGATTTGAAATAGGGTAGTTTCTTAAATTTTATTTTAATGTCCGTCTGGTATATTAATTTAAAACTTTAGACACGTATTTTTTCTTTTCTCACAAAATTAAATACTTTCGACGATATATTAATTTGAAATATCGTATGGTGTCACAGCGTGCCACATTTTTTAGCACGTTATGACGTAATAACCGCCCACTCCTAAACTTAGCGCCATTTTATCTAAGTATTGCAACTTAATACGAGAAAATAAAAAAAATACGTGTCTAATATTTTTTCATTATCTAACTGACGGACTAGTAAATTTTTAATTTTGATACTCTGGAAACTACCCAATGATGGACTACTCAGACATTAAAACGACGTGAACTCTTTATATGCAATTAAATTTTCTTTCACTTGCCTCTTCTCTCCACCAACTCTAAACTGAAATCCCTGAAGAACGCTGTGATAATTTTGGTTTTGTCATGTTCATAATCTAAGGTAAGTCAACTAAATACAAACTTACCAGGGTAATGCACATGGTTGTCAGCTACCTTCGCGATAGTGATGGGCAAGTAACAGACGAGGAAAGACAGAAAGATGGCCAGCACCATCTTAGTGATCCTCCACTCGTTACGCCTGGCCTTCGTCTCCCTATTGTCCTTGATGGTAGACCTCTTGTCAGTGCTATTGTTGAGAGTACCTGGGCTCGTGTGCTGGGATCTTTGATGCTCCCGCATACGCTGCTCTGAGCTGTGAACATTATACACAAATAAAAGTTATAAAAAAATATGAAACAGACCCATACCACGCCTTTTTCAATCGACCTGGCTCCGAAGAGTGATTGCAGTTTCATAACATACCCAGGTCCAGAATAACGTGTGTTTTATATTAGTAACCTGGTCTTTGTTTTCTCCATAACTACAGAACATTTTATTGTGCCAAGATAAAAATTGATCGATTCTTTTAAAAAATCTATATCATCAAGCAATAAATAGCATAACTTTACTTTTAGCGGATAAATTGTCGTCATACCCTCCTACTTATAAAGTATGAGGGTTCCCACATTCCTGTAATGTCATATCACATTCATCTTAGGCCGCAATGGTATGAAAGTGTAAATGGGATTTGTCCCCCGCGGCTAAGTGATGATGAGCAGACTCGTCCTACTTCGCATACAGTTCATTACACCATTTTCTTTGCAAGCTTTCCTTGTATTTCTTACCTTTTGAATTGTTCTTTAATTATTTTTTTTTAGTGTTAGACAAATCTTATGTAGGTATTATTTTATACTCGCTCTTTCATTAGTCGCAATAAGAATTTTTTGAACAAATTTCGATTATAATGTGTTTCTAAACGTAAATCTTAACATAATTTACCAAACTGTTCAATAGTATTTAGGCATAATACTATAATATCATATTGTCATATCTTCTTTTAATTGCTATACAAATCGTAGCTATAAATCATTTAACATCAGAGAATTAATTTAAAAATAAACACAAACGTGGGTTTGGCCAGCAGCTTCAGGTACCAGGCTCATAAAGAACTATGTTTATCATTACACTTTGTAGTTGTACGTGGCTTAGAGCCGTTCAAACGTGTTTCCTGTTCGTGCCGTTTAATGTTTTGTTCAATCACCGTAATGTTTAGCATTGTCTTCTCATATAGACATAATGATTATAATAGCGAAACATGAATATGTGACTGTATCTATAAAATGGCTAGATACATGCATGAAGCTGTGATGCAAAACTCGTCATCTACAGACAACAACTACAGACGACTTTTGCAACATGTACCTACGTGCTTTAGTAAACGGATGATTTTAAGAAGGTAATGCTCCTGCTCATACAGTTTTTATATTATACTATAGTTAGTGTTTATATACACATAAGTAACAGGTACCCATATTATGCGTCGCGCTCGACATCGCGGGGGCACTGACGTACCCTTAGATTATATGTTACCTTGTTGGTCACATGATTCACTTCAGTGACCGTAAGTACGTCCGTATGTGTACATAATTGGGTAGTTTCCAGAAAATTTAAATTAAATATCTAATTAGTCCGTCAGTTAGATAATGTGACAATATTAGACACGTATTTTTTATTTTCTCGTATTAACTCGTCGAGTACCGTCATTATACCTCTAGACACAATTATAGAACAATAGGTTGCGGTCACCGGTGACCGTTTGGTGTTTGACAGTTTAAGTTGCAATACTTAGATAAAATGGCGCTAAGTTTAGAAATGGGAGGTCGTTACGTCATAACGTGCTACAAAATGTGGCACGCTGTGACGTTACACGATATTTCAAATTAATATATCGTCGAAAGTATTTACTTTTGTGAGAAAAGAAAAAATACGTGTCTAAAGTTTTAAATTAGATAATCAGACGGACATTAAAATAAAATTTAGGAAACTACCCCATTGCAGGGTGATTTTTAGGGTCGAAACAATTACTGTTATTTATTAGAATATTACATTCTAAATTCAACTTGTGGAATTATCTCCGGCATTTTGTTATCATACTGACATGTAATGACAGTACACACACATACTGACAGTACAACACATACTGACTGACTGTTTTATAATGAAAGTGAATCTTACCTGTGTACTACCCAAAAGATCCTGGCGTAGCATATGAAGATCAGCAGGGCTGGGACTATGAAGGCGATGACGAAGAGAGCGGTCTTGGCTGAGCGCCCGTTGTCATCAGGCATTATAGAGCATGTTCCTAACTCCGGGTCGTAGTCAAATTTACCTGAAATTTACCTTTATATTTATTATTGCCCTATGTAAAAAGCTCTGGATGCAGAGACTCTTCTATCAGAATTAAATTAGTATAAATTCTTCTCGAATTCTAGGTAAAGCTAGACTCAAGAAAAGCTAGACGACTTTCCCTAATTTTCTTTTACTATTCGAAGTTCGGGGTAGCTTATTCACGAAGAAGTACAGAATAAATAAAACTTTGAGAAAAGAAAGAAAAATACTTTTTATCCCACAGAGTGTAACTTAACGAAGGTTTTTTTTAAACATTGTCCCACTAGAATTTTGTTGTGTGTCGTGGGTGCGTTTATTAACATACAAGTTCACATACACATGGCACCCACACCAAAAACAACAATTTGAGGATCACACAAAGAGTTGTTTGGCTGTTCCGTGCGGGAATCGAACCCGCTGCACATATATTGGAGTCATATAATTGGAGATTAACAACAGATTCATAATATTTTATAAAGATTCTTTGGAGACTACATAAACAATACGTTGTGATTGGCCGGTACCAATGAAGCAACCAATCAAAGCGCCGAACGCGTTCTCGTTTTGAATCCTCCGATAGCATTAACTTACCCCATACTCCAACAAGGGTTGGTATCTGCATGCCGTAAGAGAACATCCACGAGAAGACGATCATGATGGCGATGTTGTGCTTGCGGTACACACGGGAGTACCAGCTGTGGTGCGCTATCATTATGTACCTGAAGACAAAAATAACCATTTTAATACAAGTTACTGCTGATATATGTAAGTATGTAGTTAAATACTGTTTTTATAATAACTATCGTGAGACATACTAAATTAACTAAAATCGCGGGTTACTCACGTGAATATACTGAGTAAAGCTCTACTAGTTTCGAACCACAGAGGGGTTCTTCCTCATGAGCTGCGTGCGCGGTCTCGGCGACGGCGCGCAGCTCAGAGTAACCCGCGATTTTAGTTAATTTAGTTAAAGACTGATAAAATGATTTAGTAACTAGTAGAAGTAATGCAGAGTCAATAATAATAAATTGGTATATGACTTTGGGCTCTACTGTCATGTATACAGAACACATAGTACATATGCATGGTCTTATATAATGCATGTTGTCATCAATAAACAGAAATACTTATTCATAGTCAGTCA